AATTTACAGAGTCATTTGGTTTTGGTCTTATGTTTATGATCTTATTTTTATCGTCTATTTATCTCCTGGAAAGTTGTCGGCCGTTAGAAGGAGAAAGTTATTGGTTATCAGTATTGGTTCTTAAAATAAGTTATCGTGCATCCCTAAACTACAGACATGTTAAAAAATGTATTTTAATACATTATTGGTTGTTTTTATTTTATGGGGTCATTTATTTATTTGATGGAATATTTATTAATACTTTAATATTTACAGTAATTTTTGTATTTATTTCATTTTGAATGAAATGGCTCTCCAGAACACTGATGGTTCTTGAATAAGAATAAGATTCAATTAAAATAAACAAGTAGAACTATGTTTTAAAACACAACAAAGATCAAAAATACTTTGAAATTCAAAGGAAACTATTTGGTGAAAAGTACAGATTTTTAAAACAGAAATATTGCCAACAAATGTACCTGCTGGGTGGTTGTAGTTGCTTTGATTTCACCAAACATATCCGGAGTACTGACTTGACTCTGAAAGGTCGAATCAACAACATGCAACATCAAGAAGTGAAACAACAAGCTGACAAAGCATGTTACAGGTGTAATACAGAATGAGAAGAGATGTCATTACTGCCATAAAAACAGAAAACGTTTTCTTAAAAATCCTGAAGCAAATGGTCAGTTTATTGACATTTGATTAAATTTGACATAGTATGGACACACACACACACATACAAAAGCCTTTAAGCATAACGGGGCAACCAGAGTCTGATTTGTGTCCATCATTTAGTGCACTATTTTGTAATATCAATATTGTACTCTCTGATATATATTMCCCTCCAAAAGTACTGGAACAACAAGCCAAATTCTTTTGTTTTTGTTGTTCACTGAAGACATTTGAGTTTAAGATCAAAAGATGAGCATTAGACGAGTTCTGAATGTCAGATTTTATTTCCTGGTATTTTACGTGTAGACGTAGCCTGGTTAAAACCAGACCCTGTCCTTCACTTTGCTTCATACGAGGGTCTGGACTTGATGCATAGAGAATTGTTTCTTGCTGGAGGCGTGGCCTCTGCTGAAGCGTATGTGTGTGTTGTCGCTGTGAAGAAGGCTAAGCTAAGAAGCTAATCAGAAATCGCGTGTCCTGTAAACAACCCTACTGAGAGGAGAAATGTACCGACCTGAACGAGACGACTGTAAATGAGAGCTGCTGCTTTGTCAGACAAATTTAATTTAATTTGAAGCCTTATCAACCACAGACTGGCTTCATTCACTTCCTCCACTGCTGTATGCTAAAATGACTAGCAGACACTGCAAAGAACATCGACGTCATTCAAAACTCCTCCTTCTGTTCTCTGATTGGTCCAGGTAAAATAAACTACAAGCAGACACTGTACAGAAAATCGACGTTCTGTTCTCTGATTGGTCCGGCTAAAAATCTGCCAGTGAAATCATCTGAATGGGAGAAGTCCCAGACGGAGCAGAGAAGGAAACTAGAATTGAGCGGAGCTGCGTAGGAAGGTGAGGACCAGGCTAGTGTAGACGTATTAAACAACTCAGAACACACCACTTTGTTTGAACCCTCCCATTTTTCAAGTGAGCAAAACTACTGGAACATTTAACTGACAGGTGTTTCTCATTGACCAGGTTTTCCTTTAAAGGGGCAATTTTATGTGTTTCTCAGGCATATATTTAAATTCTACTCCATAATAAAATAACTATGTCACCTTCAGTTGTTATTAAAATGCTGTTTAAGAAAGTTTTACTTGGCAAGATTCTTGAAATACTTGATTTGACTCAATTTTTTCTTATTTCAAGAATCTTACCAAGTAAAATGTTCTTACTCCACTGGCAGATATTTATGACTTAATTAGAGTCAAATTTTCAGACTAACAAGACAAATAATCTTACACATTCTGAAAACAAGATGATTATTCTTACACAATCAGTTCTTGTTTAGTAAATCAGTCTGAAAACAAGATCAAAAAGACTTTTTGGCTGATATAAGGTTTTAAAACCTGGTTAGATGGACAGTTTTTGCAGTGTGGACGCCACATGGCATGCTCTTTCATAGGTACTCCAGGAACTGTTTCAGTTGTTACATTATCATTGGTATTTTTATCAAGGCCTGGCCTGTTAACATAATGGATATACAGTACATGATTTCAATGTAAACTTCACTTGAAAAAAATCAGTTTATTTAACATCATTCTCTTTTGTTACTTCGGACTTATTGTTATAGTAATAAGACAGGAGCTGGAACAATAACACCAAAGTTTAAAGACAATACTTGAACAACAAACTAACAATATGGTAAATAACTTAGGAGGACTAACCTGACCCAGACTTTGAACTGTTCCCCTGATTCCGTGCAGAACCCTTCTCAGCTGCATCTCTGTGCTGGAAGGGCAATATCCAGGTCCTGAACCTGGACCAGCAGGAGGACCGAACCCCAGGTGCTGAAGATGTGGGTTCATGTTGCACCTCATGTGGTAAGGTGAGGCAAACTGGGAACTGTGTGGAGATGCGGGGTAAGGGAACTGATGGTCATGTGGATGATTGTAGCCCTGATGGTGCATCTGGTGAGTTCCAGAATGTAAGTGGCCCAAACCGAAGCAGTGATGAGCTGTGGAACCTGGGATCTGATGAATGTTGGGGAGGCTGCCGTGTGGGGGTACTGGGGAAGTGAGAGGCTGGTGGAGGCTGGTCGTACTGGAGTAGTGATTTAATGAACGGTTGTAAGGGTAAGGAGGACTAACGTAGGGGTACACAGAAAATGGGTAAGGACTGGAGTTAGGAACAGGACTGGAATAGGGGCTGGGGTCAGAGAACACTGTTGAAGGGCTGTGAGTAGGAAACATCTGTCTTTGGTTGGCACTCATGTTCAGCTGGAAGGGGCTTGGCTGAGAACGATGACTGCATGGAAGATCAGGAACACTCTGGGTGCTCCAGGAGTAGACGTGGTCTCCCAGAGACTGATCCAGAGGAGTGCTGACACTCTGCAGAGAACAGGACGATCCCTGAAGGTAGGCAGGGATGGGTTTAGGGGGCATGGCAGATAAAGTTTCATCTTTAACGCCTGGATTTATGATCAGAGTAGACAAACAGTTGCTTTGCTCCTCCTCTTCCTCTTCACACTCCTCCTCTTTTCCTGCATCCTCTCCTGTTTCCTTCGTGTATTTAAAGGAATACTTGGGTTGGGTGCAGGATGCTTGGCCTTTTCTAAACTGGATCTTGATAGAGGACACAACTCTGGAGGGGGACAAGAGAGAGGAGGGCAGAGAAGATGACCTTTGCATAGGAACGACACCACGTCCTTCTCCTCTTCCTCCAACCAGGATGTGATCCATATCGCTGCACTGGATGCTGCTGTGCTGATGCACTCGGCACAGCTGATTCCTTTTGGCTCTGTTCAGTGCATGGAGAACTGGAGATGATGGAACAGGAGGATCAAGTGGAACAGAATCTGTGGGCAAAGACTCCAAATGGGATTTCTCCTCAGCTCCCTCTGAGAGACTTTCCAYGGCTACCTCAGATGATTCTTGCACTAAAACAGGTTCATTCTGGGTATGTTCTAGTTTTTGTTGTGGTTCTTGATCAGACCTGTTCTGCGAAGGATGTGTTTCTGTGTCTAGATCAGTCTGATCTTCACCCTTGACTTGCTTCTCTTCCCCTGCAGGTTGGTGCTTCAGGAGGTAATGAAGTGCGTACTGTGGAACCTGCTCTGATCTTCCTTCATGTGCTGCTCCTGCGCTGGACTGACAGGTCCCATTAGGCTCAGCAGCACCACCAGGTCCTACCTCTGCCTCTGGACCATCTGGCAAATCAAACGCTGGTTGGTCCAGTGCATGGGGAGTGGTCACGTCTTGTGAAGGATGTGAAGTGACCGTGGTCTCGCTGTCACAACTGTCACTACTTTCCTGGATCTAACGAACAATTAAAATAAATTTAAAAATCAGACCATGCATCTCACTCCAACATGATACAAAACAGATAATTACCATTTTATTTTGAATAAAGTCATCAAAATATGGAAACTTGCATGTTTATCTCAATTTAAATATCAAGATCAAGAAAATGCAAAACTGAAAATGATCACATTCAAAATATATTCAGAACTTAAAAGTAGACTGCTTTTATTTTGTTCATTATTGCATTTTTAGGGCCAAAGGTGGAGTGTCAGAACGGTCGGTGTAGGTACGGATCGGACCGGTTGGTTTTCCACTGATGTTCCAGTCCGGTTCCAATGGGTGTGTTTTGGTCGGTTGGTGGAGGTGGTTTTTAGTTTTTTTTTTAAAGTTAATGGGAAAAATGAGAGATGGAAACACATTTGATGAATAACTTTTGAAAATTTTAAAATTTGCAAAAATTTCTAATTAAAATTGGATGGAATCACGACTAATGCCACTGCTACAATTGAAAAAATGGCTCCTTGAGTTGTTCTTGTAAAGGCAGCTTAGACGCAACCAGTGACTCCACCCCCTAGCCAACCAGTGACTCCACGCCCTAGCCAACCAGTGACTCCACCCCCTAGCCAACCAGTGACTCCACGCCCTAGCCAACCAGTGACTCTACCCCCTAGCCAACCAGTGACTCCACCCCCTAGCCAACCAGTGACTCCACCCCCTAGCCAACCAGTGACTCTACCCCTAGCCAACCAGTGACTCCACCCCCTAGCCAATCAGTGACTCCACCCCCTAGCCAATCAGTGACTAACAGTGTTCTGACGTCGTATTTTGGTGTCAACTGGGACCGCTTGGAACCACAATGAAGTAGGTACTAAAAAAGGGCTGGTTCCATGAATCTTGCCCAATGGAAATGGTTTTGAACCGTACCGACACTACACTAAGTGGCATTAGTGGAAAAAGGGCATAAGTTACTTTGCAAAAGTGTACAAATCCTGTGTATTTTCTTTGATATACCTGAAAAATCATCATCATTTGATACAAAGCTCAGGAGTTATCACTATAGATTAGAAGAATTATCACTGCTTCTACAAATGATGTTGTCCACTGACAAACAATAAATTGTCTTATGTTGTAGACAATGCATGAAGTGACTTGTCTGCTAAAGGCTGGCCCAARAGAAAAGAAAGAAGCCAGCTAAATGAATGTCAGTCATTTTTGTGATCCTACAGCAACTTTAAAAACACTGATTGGACTGCATTAATTAACTGTTTATTTCTGTAACACACATTTTACTCAACGTAATTAGTTGTTTTTGTCATGTGAAGATCCAATGCACCTTTGACTGACTCGACATACCAAAAGAATGCACCTGCTTCTCACTGGAAAGGGAAAGATTTAAGAAGTCTAAACATATTAAAGACAGGTACATTTGTAAACACATGGAAAGCTTTCTTTTTATTTTGCTATGGTCTTTTTTATCCTCTTTTTGGGCATTGGTCTCTCTTGTAAATGAGATCTTGGACCTCAATGAAACAACCTAAATATCAAATAAAAAAAATAATTGAAATTAAAAAATGGTGGCATAGCTGTAAATTACAAAGACACACATTAGCTTTATTCTTGAAGTTCATGCCACATTGACATTGTTATTTTGTAACGGTGGTTTAATCATAATTAAATAAGTCTGTAAAACTATGTAACAAAAATTTTTCTTATTTTTTAATAGGTCTAAATTATATTAAAAATCTTTACAACGTGGCAACCTTTTGTAGCTCTAGCACCCTGAGGTGCAGCTTCCCAATAAGAATATGATAAAATCATGACAGAAATCTGACGACCAACCTTGAGGTAGATGCTGGAATCAACAGAGGGCTCCTCTGCAAATCCACTGCTGTCTGACTGCTGACTGACAGTTCKCGACAGGTCTGAGAGATAAAAAGGAAAAAAACGTTGATGCAGTACTCCACATGACCAACAGATAGAAGAGTCGGATTATTTAGAACTGTCCAGTTGTCCCCCTCCTGGCTTCAAGTTGATAATAGCTGCAGCATCTCTACCTGCACAGCCTCACCTGGTGGAGTCCAGGGCTGAGAACGAGCTTGACAAGAATGCGAACACAGCTCCAGCTTTGGTTAAACAGGGACTGAATTGCTCTTAATGGCAACTCAGACACCCAACTCTGTACAAAATCTGTGTCCTCGTTTACTCAGTCACACACATTCATACAGATACAGCATTTAGTGAGTGTGCTTAGTTAGCAGTAAACTATGTACACTATGTTCATAGAGGTAAAAATGTATGCACAATGCTTATAATTACATACAGCATTTGATTTTGTGTATTTTTTGCTGTCAACTTATAGTAAAGTAGGGCCCTGGATATATATCTTGTTTAGGCCCCCAAATGTGAACGGCTGGACCTGACTACCTGAAAGCTATATTTCAGATAGTCAATTAAACAATTCACTTATGAATAGTCATAAAGTAAATTTGAGATATCTGTCTTTTTGTTCTAAGTAGTTATAATATTAAAGATGTCTTAATTCRGGTGTGGAGGTACAGAAAATATAGGTGTTTTGGCAGTTTTTCTGACAAGTTTTTATTCATATCGATGTCAAAATTATATCATATTGACTGAAATTAGGAGTTATATTGTGATATAAATTGTAGTCCTTCCAGTCCTTAAAAACAAGAAGAAAAAAACTGTTAAATTGGATCTTACCTGCAGTTCTGGATGTTCTGAGTAGCTGAGCCTCGTCTTCATTAGTTTGAATCTATATGACAAACAACAGAGAGCAGGTTGGTGAAAAGAAAGAACTGTGGAAGAAAACCTTTTTATTCATTACCAAATACTTGTACTCAAGTACCTGTGAACGCAAAAAGAAACTGTTTTATGCATCTGTAGTGGCTGATTAAATATAAATATTCTTTACCAGAATAAAATTCCACTTCATCTATTTTTTTCCTTTTGTCCATCACAAGGCTGCCAACTCTCATGCATTTGGTGTGAGACTCACACATCTGAGGGTCTTCTCACGTTCTCATGCCACACTCCCAATTTCTCACACTGAGAACTGACTAAAGCTAGCAGTCTGATCGCTCGTCGCGGGGGAAAGTCTGGAGCTAAACAGACCAGAGGAAAAATAAACAAAAAATGCATACTGTAGGCACGGTATGATAGAAAATTTTAGTGGTTTTGAACCGTGGTGGGCAGCGCTAACTCAAAAATTAGCTCCGCAATTTCTAAAGCACTTATGAAAATATTTAGGTCCGCAACTTCAAAAGCGCTTATGCTGTAGAAAAACTAGCGGAAGCTAACTTTAAAGCGCAAGTTCAATTTGACACTTAATAGCTGACAATTCATGTACAATATATGTACAACACTGCCAACTAGTGGTGTATGAACCCTTGTACAGCTTAATCCTACGAGCGCCGACTGCTGGGGATGTGATTTCCTGAAACAGACCTTTAGCTCCTGGTGTAAAAATTAAAAAGTTGTTGAGGATTGCTAGTTCGGCTGCTTCTTTGTCTTTTTTTTTTTTGTTTGTTGTAGGTTTTTCATTAAAGAAGCATCAATAAAGCAATTTTAAAACTGTTTATTGGAAAACTGAAGCGATGTATTCTGGGAGCATGACGGATTTGATTTGTGACAGGAAATGAAAGTTTTCCATGTAGTTGCTCCAGTTGACCACTAGATGTCTGTCTAACCCCGTTTGCAGATTGCTTTGACCAATTGCGTCAAGTATTGAGCTAAACTTTATTTTTAAAAAAAGGAGCTTCGATTGTAAMGTAAAATAAATCAATACATACAAAATATTAGTATGGATTACAAATGTTAACTGTTTTAGCTGTTGCCTTCCTGCTATGTAAGCAGACACAAAGCATTGTGGGAAATGAGAACTGTGACCCAAAGCAACAGTCAGCAGGATGTATACCTTCACAATAAGTGTGTTTATCTGGGAGGGGTGCTGTTGGATAGATCACATGTTGTGATTCATTGACAGTCTGACTTCTGCTGTTCAACATGATGACTGGTAGATAATTAGTTATTAGTGGTACTGCATTTTAATTTTAGAAAGCGTAAATCTGCTAATGAATTATAAAAATTAGGAAGACTGCTAAAGTGCAAACAAAATATTTAGGTCCACAATTAGTGGATTTTCACTTTAGCGGACTGGTGCCCACCAATGACGGTGTACCTTGAAACCRGTATTTGGCCCATGCCTAGACCCCTGACATGGCTCCCTGCTTCAGTTATTCCTGGCTGCAGCATCAGTATCACTATTATTATCAAACAGATGCTGCTCAACCAATCATCTCCCCTCTCCAAACAGGGACTCAAAGTTACAAAGTGGGAAATCAATATCGGACTTTAATATTGGCCCAGTTTCACATATCGGACCGATACCGACATTCTAAAAAATGACCAATATTGGCCGATGTCGATATCAATACTGATATTTCGTGCATCCCTAGTTTGTTTCATTTGTTGAAAGTAGTGCGCTTTTAAGGGTAGACTGGGCAGCTTTAACAAGACCGCAACAGAAAACAACCAGAGTTGTATTTTTTTTTTTTTTTTTTTTTATTTCTCTCCCTTACAGATGACAGAAATCCGTCCTGGCCACGTTCAAAGTGACGGAAATTCGTTGTGGCAATGGAGAACTTTAAGCCCTGTTAGAGGTGATTCTGGGAAACAATTAATGATGTGAAAACTATTAATGTTCACACCAGACACACACGATTAACAATTACATCCACATGTACACAGTTAGTTAAAGGATGTGCAAATCTGAGCCAAAAATATTGTTAACAGGAATGGATTCAGCCTTCCTGGAGGATATAATAAATAGTGTAACATGCAGAGTATAATCATGGTGACGACTGGCTCATCAGTCTTTTTCTGCTTCTAACAATAATAATTTTGCAGCTTGGCACTGCGGCGCACTGGGAGGAGCCGTGTGATGCACGTGCAGCAGCAGCGCTCAAACTGGGGTTCCACAGGGGCGTTCCAGAAGGAGCTGACAGACCGAACGGGACTGTGCCAGTCCAGTCCACCCAAAGCCGAGTCATGCCCAATGAAACGGCCTCGTCTATCTGATTGTAAAATTTAAATCACATCATCATTTCATGTCACTAAAACTCTCCTCTGAGGTGCAGACACTTGTTTCTTCATATTAATTATTAAATAAACAAATACTGGTCAGTAAAGTGACCCGCTGCCCCAACTCGGTAAAAGTGTAGTGCAGGTCAGAAACCATTATCACCATTTCTGTTTCTCTCCTAACGACTCGCTACAAGGGTCCAAACTTTACACCACAGTTTTGAAACCATTAGGATTAAAGATTTGAGTGGGAGATTTTTCAAACTCAATAAGGTATTTTCATGTTGCCACTAGGTGGCACAGTGGTCAATTCACAACATTTGCATTTGTCCATTTTCAGGACTGGATGTGTATCAATCATGTACATTTTTGCACAGTTTGAATAATTTACTGTAACGTTACACCCAATGGGCCTCATGTAAGAACCGTTGGTACGCACAAATTTGTTCTTAAGTTGTGCGTACGAGTGATTTAGGAGAATTTGTGACATTCACCAATGTTTTCGTATTCTACGATTTTTTTCAGATACGAACAAAATTCAGGAGTGGTCCAGACCTGTCGTATATTTTACCAGCAGTCAGTCTGCTGTTATCCAGACGGGTTTTCTTCCCTAATGGTGCGTTCACACCGAACGCGATTTCAGCATCAGGAGCAGCAGGTTTACATGCAAAGTCTATGGT